ATGATAATGATAAGAATAATATGAATAGTTAACAATGCTACCTTGGCCCTTCTCGTACCCGTAGTACCCTGATAGTACCTGATAGTGCCCCTGTAGTGCCCTTAGAGTGTCCTAATACTCATACCCTCAGAGTACACGAATAGCAACCTGTTCGTACCGACAGTGCCAAACCCTAAACCCTAAACCCTAAGCCCTGATAGTGCGGGCCGGGCCTTCGAAATCGCTTTTGGCCGGCCCTCGCAGAACCGCGGCGGATCTTGGCTTAGCACTCCATCGACGTTTTGTGAGGGATTGCTTTTAGGATACGATCAGTGGTGCTATAAGGGTGTGCCGAAAGCAACCAAACAGTCCGACAGCGCGAAGCCCATGTCCTAGACAGCTTATCTGTCAGTAATTGCAATCGAATGTCTTCTGATGTGTGTGATCTCAAGTGACCGCAGCCCGATCAATGCTGCAATCTCTGTTGTTTCCTACATAATTCGCAACGAATCGCATCGAAACGCTTGGAAACGAAACGCGACGATCCGGTTTCTTAACCCGAAAGAAAGCCAACGATTCGATTCCTTATTCTCTTGCTGGAAACACATACACTGCAAACGAAACGCATCCTTCCTGTACATCTTGCAATGTTAAAACAGCTGTTAGCTCACACCAAGGTGCAGGTAAGGCAGTCCGGACAGCTTTGTTAAGTCTGTCTGGCCACCCAGCTCACCAGCAAATCCGACGATGCGGATCTGACCCTCGATGTTTTGGCACGCCACCTGACCTGCTTCGGTGGAATGTGCAGTAGACTGTCTCGACAAGACTTCACATACTGATACCATCGACGAAACAGCTGCGAAGCGTTGCCTGCAGTGCCTCAGCCGATTTAGACCCCACCTCCGCACGTTTCGGCGACAAGCGCATAATCCTCCTCACAGGGCCGTCCGCCGACGCCCTCGTGGATTAGTACTTGGAAAGAGCTCGATTTCCTCGGCTGGCACTTGCCCTGCATGTGGCGGCCATGCAAGTTCAGCAAAAGAGGAATTGCAGCACTCGGTCAACGCACAATGGCCGCTGGCACTTCTCTTCCGAGCTGCCACTCGTCGATGCCAAACGTAAGGCATGAGTCACTGTCGCCGTCACCGGGTGTGCAGTGTCTGCGAATGTTGCCCCAATCATGAGCAGAAGGCTCCGAGAACAGCAAGTCCTCTGCTGCAGCAGCGCAGGTGGAACTCCAGGAAATCCTACATTATCCTACATTGGCAAATGCCACAAGCAGCGACACCCGTTCTCTCACGTCCTCCAAGTCTACAGCATCTGGATCGCCCACTCGCAGCGGGCCAAACTTTGCATCAGGAGCCTCTGCTCCTGAGATTGGAATCTCTGACCCTAGTGGTTGCACCTGCGTATCTTGAAGCTCCGTCTGCGAATCCGGGGCAAGAGATACTAGTCGGTTTTCGTGCTTTAAAGTCCCTCCAGACTTTGAGTCTGCCTTGCGTTTGCCGCCGAGTCGCCCGATACCGTCAATCCACAATTGCCTGCCAGGATCTGCTTTGCACCTGGCATCACAGCCCACAGCTGCCAAAACTGTTACAAGTACATAAAACAACCCCGTCTACTCTACTCTACAAAACAAAAATTCATCTTGTGTACCATTAAACTGCATTATAACCCACGTACGCCAAGATGTGGCCCTCCGGGCACCCGGCCTCGGAGCAAGATCACTGTTGAGAGGACATGGCGGCAAAGAACCATGGGGGGCTCAGTTCGACGAACTCAATAATCTGCTAATTTATGATAAAATGCATAATATAGTACAACATACTATGATTTCACACACGGTACTGTAATATACTTATATTGTATCACATACTGTAGGAGTGGGAAGTTCAGGGTTGATTCCGCCCTCACAACTCGGACCAGCTAGGCGAGGTCTGTGTGTGTGCAGGTTGGGATGTCAGACCTTCCTGTAGTCGGCCAGCGGCGTCCCCATACTCTAAACCACAAGCTCGAAACAAGGGAAGCAGCGGGATAGCAGCGACTTGCACGCCTCTACTTTTCCAACTGCACAACTAACTACAGAAGTATCAACCAGACATGTTTTTTTCATCCAATGTCCTGTACTTGCTGTCTCAGCACATACAAATGCAGACTGCAGTCTTTTCGAAGATGCCGGCAGAGTCCGGAGGACCAATGCCACATTTGGCATGAGTCCCAGTTTCTTTCAAGCTCACGACAGATTCGGGACCGTCACACAGTCACACGAGAAAAGTAAAGACACAGAAGCACTTGTAGGTGTTGTCTAAACCACGGTTAGGGAAGGCCAGAATCGATTGGAGCGGTCCATGTCGGGATATGTAGGACGTAGGCTTTGTACAGGGCTTCCTTGAGGAGAAAAGCCAGGGCCTTGCCCAGAGGATGCTGAGCTTCATTGGGGCAACAGGCTCGTCTTGGCCGGCATGAGGTCTCTTGCAGATTGCAACTTGTGGCCTTCTTCGCTATGATGTCCTCATGCGACTCCCAAGAGCAACTTCATCGCCAGAGTCTTGGCGCTTTTATGCTTCCTTGGTACGAACTCCTCGTACACTTCGCCACGAAGTCTCTGTATGTACAAGTCTGGGCAAACTGCGTGCATTGCAACGAAGGAGACAAAACCTGCAACCTGGTGACTCAAATCGCACAGGCTCAATCAAATTCATAACAACTGCCATTGCAGCAAAGTATATAAAAGACGGGTAACTGTGGTGGCTTTGGCTCGTCCCTCCCGGGGGGCTGATCTTGGGAATGCCTCCGGCTTGGATACCTGGCGCCTACCTGCCTTCAAAACTGCCAATGAGGAGGTCCCAAGCCTTTGCCAAGGTCAACTACGCAAGGAAAAGACACCAAGTGCCAGCTGGAACATAGAACAACACAACTCGCTCCAGGTCACCTGCCCTTGCAAACTCGTCAGAGTCAGTTTGCTTGGAGGTCAGACTCTGCTGCACGTGTCGTTGCCAAGACTGGGCCGCGAAGGCAGGCGACACGGACACAAAACCTCCTGGGAAAACAACGGCCGTGGAGAACAACATCAGCATTCACATTAAACAGTTTGCTGGTCCAAACAACCGATAGTCGAAAAGACAAGAAACCTGCACCAACCACAGAACGATGCCTCATTGTGTCAACATGATGGAAAACATGAGACGATCTGCAAACAAGCGAGGTTGGTGCAGACGCTGTGCAAGCAGCATTTCAGCAGTCCATGAGCTGCCAGGTAGCTCTATCGTCCAAAGTCCTCTGTTGCTTGTCGTGGCAGCGCAAGGTTACAAGGAGCAATTGAAGCATCGAGCACGTGTTGCACGTCAGTCGCAGCATTGGCAAGCGATGAGACCATCGGCCGGTCCTGCCGCCCGCCTCAATCTGCGGAAGCTAAGCCGAATCTACCCCGCGTGAATGGAAAGAGTGGTACCTGTAGACACTGTAGTCTGCAATCTGCCCGGATTTATGGCTGTTGGCGTGGCTCTGGGTTGAGATGCCATGGCATGCTATGCTCATGCTACTGTCTCAGGGCTGCCCATGTCGTAGCTATGCTATGTCAACTACATAGAATAACAATAACTACTCGGTGTCACTCCCATCGCCGCCATGCGCAATGCAAGAGGCAAGCGAAGCACCGAGAAAACTCCTAAACCAGCGCACATGCACGGTAGGCGCACAAGGTCCATCCAGGTCCCAGCGGAGTCTCGCTCATTTCGATCTACGAGACTCCGTCTGGATCCATGTCGCCCACCATCCATGCAGTCCCTAGTCAGGCCATCCATTGCGGCTTTACCTTTAGTCGACTATGACATGCTTAAGCTGCTGCTGGGCCGACAAGCACCTGCTGTACGGGACTGGCCTGGTGAGGAGTTTTGCACTCTGAGCGGCTGGAAGCCCGCCTCCCCATTTCCTAAACCACATCCTTAAGGGCACGAGGTCTCCGATACATTCAGCCGCTCAATGTGTGCAGCGGGGCTCGATGTTGAGCTTCCCTGACTCTTGCACGCTGCAGCAGAACAGGCTCAGCAAATCTCTGCAAACAAACTACGGCCTTTGTGTGCCTTGTTGCCTCTCAGCCACTGGGCAAAAGTCTGCTGGCAAGCTGATCTGATGACATGTGGAGCTGGTTGCTGGATCATTGAAGAAGTTGCCCCGTGAATCTCTGAGCAGCCCGGCTACGACCTTGCAGCACTTTGCACGGGCAAAGCTTCAGGTCTGCAGGATTTCGCGGAGAAACAGCAAAGGCTTGTATGCAGTTGCTTGGCTTGGAGCTTGTTGCAGCTATCCCTACAAGCCTTGCTCTTGCTTGAAATCCTGTGCTGGGCAAAAAAAGGGATCAGCACTGGACCTCGTGGCCACGACTTGCCAGAACATCTCTCAGCCTTCAAATGAAACTACTTCAATTCCGGCCAAAGGTCCTTGGACAAATTCGCTGACGAGCCTGGCCTGTCGGAGCTACTTTGCCCATTTCTCTACGATGTCGGATCTGGATGTCTGGAGGTTGGAGAGTTATGCCCGCGCAGTCATAATATGCTGGTTCCAGGAGTGTTCTCAAATCGCAAGAGCAAAAACCAATAGCTAAGCATGAACTTCAAGCACACATTACCCTGATGGCAAACCCCGAGAGAGCGCAGGCTCGGCAGGTTGTGCAACGTCAAGTCCTTGCCGGGCCAATTGAGACGTGTGTTGGCCAAGAAACCTGATCCTGCCGCAGCCACGCGGTTAACATGTTCAGCATATTTCAGCATCATGTCGAAGATGCTCCATCCTACCCCTACCCCCATGTTCGCCACAACAGCTGTCGTTGCAAAACGCTCGCTCTACACCCAGGCCTGAGATTGAAGAAGATGGATGCCTCGGCGCATGGCTGCTGAGAATTTGCAGACGGGCTGGACAAGCCAAGACATCGGGATATACCTTTGCGAGATCAGGACGGCAAGCACTGCGAGAAGCTGTACAATGGCCGGTGTTGTTCGTTCGTCGTTTTCCCGACTTGCACGTCAGTCCGGCGTGACGGTGATGTATCCCTTCACAACCGGATAGGGGACGGAGGTGGGGTCGGCGAGGAGCGTCAACCGCTCCCCAAGCGATTCAGAAATGCTTGTCGTCCTCCACCACTTGATGTTGAAGCGCCTGACCTTTGAAATCTGTCACCATGTCTGAACCCGAAAGGTCCCTAGAAAACTGTATGTGATCATGTTGAAGCACCGGCCCACCTGCACATCGCCGCCCTGGCGCATAATCAAAAAGGGCTGGCCGTTCGTGTAATCACAGCGCAAGAAGTAAACCTTGTCCAGCTGCCCTTAGTTTGTTTCGCCGCCGTAATGAGGGCAGTTCACCTCAAGTCTGCTACCGCCATGCAGCCGTGTGCTTGCTTGGTGTAGATCCGCATGCCCCCCAGCTTGGTGTAAAAGGACGCGGGAACCTGACACAAGCGCACCAACATGCTAGCTGTTGAGCCCGAGTTGCCGCGGGATGCCCCACTGCATCATGGCCGAAAGCAAGAGATGGCAAACTTACACAGGAATTCGACACTGTCTGGAAGGCAGAGAGGCTCGCGCTTGCTGTCTGAAGCAAGCCTTGGCCTTCTTGCACTGCAACGGCCAACAGCAAAAGCCTCTGCACATCAGAGTTTGCCCAGATGCGAGCCTTGACTTTCTGATGCACAGGCTTCAGGACGGATTTGTTGGAGGCCGTCCGGTTCATCGTGCCCTGGATTTCCAGGGTCACTCCTCTGTGACCTTCAGCCGAGCTCAAAACTACAGCCGAAAGCACTGGAGTTTTGGAAACGAGAGGCCCGGATGTAGACGCTAATCCTCCATCCGTACTACAATACAATGAACCACAGCGGCAACCCCAGACTTTCAGAAATCGCCAGTACTGGCTTACAGCCCAATTGTGGTAAACTCCTTGCCGTGATCTAGTGTGGTGCCTCTCCCCCCTCAACATAGCAATGTTGAAAATCCCTCCGCTGTGCAGACAAGCATCAAAAGGTGAGGCCGCGGAGATGGGGAGAAGCAGGATCCACAGCCGTCGTGACCGAAGCCTCCTTCAAATCAAACATGAGTCCGTGAGGGACTTATACCCAATCTCAACTCACCCAAGGCACCGAATGGCATAGTTGCTGTGACTGTGATGGTCAGGGTTACTCATGCCACTAGGGCCAGCAGGGGTCTTCCAGCCCAAAATCGCTATCGTAAAGTCGTAAAGTGCCGCCTTCACCTTGAGCACTAAAAGCTAATCCCACCACGACGAATATTACTCGCGATTGCTAGCTACTGTGGCTCCTGTTGTTCTAAGTATCAGCCTTTGTGCTATCTGCAAGAGAAGCAACGGCGCTCGACCGCAATACAGGCAAGACAGAACCATCAAAGCCAAGCAAGCCTCCTGGGTCCCAGGATCGAGCTGCAAAGCCCTTTGCACCCTGCCCGTCTGGATGCTCACGATGTCCGAGTCCGCTTCGCTCTGGCTCCTCAGCTGAATCCTCTTTGGGGACTCTCTCGAGAGAGGCATCTTTTCATGAAGGGCCCACATGATATGCCTGCGGTGTAGGCCCGTAATCGCGAGGTCGGGGGGTCTGAAACTGCAGCTCGGATTCTCATCTGCGTCTTCTGCGGGCTCCGGTTCTGGAGTGGAGGTCGTGACGAACCATAGCCCGCGCCTTGCTCGCCGCCACGCGGACTGCGGTTGAATAGTCCTTCTTGGTCGAACATGGTCGGGCCCAAAGGAAAGAAGAAGCAGAGAATGGCATTCCTAGTCCGTTAAGCTGTGTAACGATCCGAACAAACAGCGCAAATTAAAGAGAACCAATGAGGATCACGAATTACTGTCCGAAGTGGGCCTCGGCGGAACCACAAAACAGGAACACACGAAGTGCCCAAAACGTCATGACATGCCTCCGCCGGCTTGTATTTGGAACCCATGACTCCTTGGTGTTGATGTCGTTGTCATGGTATATCTCGGAGGCGGAGGTCCGATAAAATCCCTCGGGTGACTATGTTTTGCCGAACGAAGCACCGCTGGACGTGACAAAGACAGCAAGGATTCAGACCGCATCACTGCACTAACTAGCAATAACAGCATTGCTTGCTGTTGTCATAAGTATATGCTCCGACTCCAGCATGCTTCAGCTACTCCTGCTTCTGACCCCGTTTTGGTCAAGGCCAGCCGCGTGAACCTGACTCCAGAATCATCCCAGAAGGTCACTACGCCCTGCACCAGGGTCTCCAGAATGAGAAGGCTCCAGGAGAACTCAGCTGCTTCCTCTCCCTCTCCGTCCATGCCCACGTAAATTCGCAGGGGCTGTCCAATCTCCAGCTGACGGACTGCGAAAGTGCCGGGCCTCCGTTACATGAACCGACAAACGCGACCCTGGCCACTCCAGTCTGCATGTGTGTGTGAGAGAGTGTGAGAGAGAGTGTGTGTGTGTGTGTGTGTCTGTGTGTGTGTGTGTTTGTGTTTTTGTGTTTGTGTTTGTGTTTGTTTTGTGTCTGTGTGTCTGTGTGTCTTTGGCTCTGCAGGTGCGGGAGCACGCATGCGTGCGCTTTAAAAGCTATTGATTGTCTGCTGCATGTACGCACGTGTGCCATCTTTAAGGACCCATGCCGCGATGACCTACATGCAGTGTTGCATGCACAAGGAGAGCGGGTAGTGTTTATGCATCGTACTTCATTCTCTCACTCGACTCGGAGAAACTTCATGATTTCCGTGGACAAGACATAACAGAGTAGCAATCTCAAGCGGCTGTGTTTGGTGATTTGGGCGTTTCTGGTGTTGCTTTCTTCTGCTGTTGTTGGTGTTTTTGTTTGTGCTTTTTTCCGGTCCGGCTTTTAGGTTTGCAGAGTTGGTTGTTGGTGGTCTCGTGTTGTCTATCTAATGTCAAGTTTTTGCGACTATTTGCACTGCTGTTGGCTCGCGAGAAAAAGCAAAACGCACTGGACAGGATATAGCCTCAAGCCATGTGCGTGGATGTGTACACGAATATGTGTACTCATAGTCTTCCCATTGTACATATATTTATTTGTTTATACATATGTTTCCTCCTGCATGGCCGAACACACATGTAAGCATGCGGTGTATGGATAGATGGACGTGGACATGGATGTTTGAATGTAATTAAATGTACGGGTGAGAGGATGGATGGATGGATGGATGGATGGGCGGGCGGGCGGGTGGGCGGGCTCATGTTCGGATGCCTGGACGGATTCATGCACGCGAGCGAAATTAGCATGACACGACAACGAGCAGGGCTCGCACATGCTGCGGCCGCTGCAGGTTGAATGTAATCCTGACTAGAAGGCACGGATGCGCTATGCGATCCGGGATGCTCGCTGGGGAAGCTATGCTAACCTTTTGCGCTGGCGGATGGACGTAATCATGGTTCGGGCATGACGCCCGTAGAATTAGTGAACAAGAACACTAGGGGGCCCAATGGGCCATGGGCGCTTTTCTTCGAGCGCCGGCGCTTCACCTAGAGCGCCATGTACACTCCCGCACCGCCATTATATGCCGTCCAAACGGGCCTTCTCTGGCAAAAACGATGCTGTCGCTGCGGGAACAGGGATAAACACCACCGGCTCGAGCAAGAAGCCAGGACACAGAGGTGCGACCGCATGAGAAAAGGCAAGGATCAGCAGGATCGTAAATTAAATTGGCACAGTGACGGAATCGTCGCCACTACGTCTGAATACCGCAGACTCTGACATATGTATCCATTTTGTGAGCAGAACTGGCATCAACAAATTCAGCTGTCAGCTTCTGGTCGTTCAACCCTAGAATCCAAGAATCTAAGGGACGGACACAGGCTCCCCATCGTCATCAAGCTCATCGAAATACAGGACCGCGTGCCCCATGTGATTGCAACCAAGATAATACTGCAGACGCCTGCCGTCGGAAGTCTGCCGCTGGAATATCGGGTAACCTCAGCTTCTCCTCCCGAGAATGTGCCGTACCAGCACTGGCTAGACGATCTTAAACAAAACTTTATCTAGCTCAAGCGAGGAACCGCCGAAACTATTGACAATGTCAGAGTCCAACCACGACGTCTCGTCAATGGTTTCGCCCTCGTCGGAGGTCCCAGAAACATGCATAGACATGTCGCCGCACTCCTTTACCGTGTTGACTGCCACCGGCTCTGCACTGCGGCTTGCAGTGTCGTATCTCACGGCTTCCACAGCGGCAAGCGCCACAAGAGCGCATTTTAGAAGCATCATGACCATGGATGTGCACTTTTGCAAACTACCCTTGCTTCTTGAAGCGGCGGCAGAAGTATACTGCAAGGTTGCCCGCGATGCTTCAGGTTCACAGCCTGCCATGCGCAACGCATTGCAACGGTGTTTCCTTCTTCTGTAGCACCTTAACATGGTGTATGAACCAGTACAGTCTCTGTTGTCAGAATCCTTTCTCTGCTACTCGCTCACGCAGGGGCCCAGGCAATCCTGCAGTCTGAGCATTCGACGGCCGAAGAAAGTCGGATTTGGAGTCAAACGACCGGTGCTGCCTCACATGCAGCTATCCTAGTGCTGCACTCCTTATTGCTGCTGGGGCTTCAGTGCTTCATTGCTACATCTGCTACATCCAGAGTTGGCTTTGGCGGATACCGCATGCTGACTGCTGACCGTTGCTGCTGCTTTTCTCGGACATCCAACCGCTGCGCCGCTGCGCTTCATGCTCGGGCCATGCCATGGATGTGCAATGTGCAGCTCTTCGCCATCCCCTTTGAAACAGCGTTTGACAATTTGTGAATTCGAACAAAATTCATTGATAAAAAAGTTAATTAAGTCAAGGGAAGTGACACAACAAAATGAGAATTACACTGTCGCGATCCACTCCTATTTGGCTTTCAGGGCGCTCCACTGCTCTCCAGGCAGTCGGAGTGACTCCAGTCCGAGACCCACGCATTTTCGTGCATGTGGAGGGGCCTTACAGTAGCACACTTGGCAGAGAACTTTTATCATCCAATTTCTGCTCACTATTTGCGAAGACTGAAGCAGATCATGTCTCGGGTATGCGGCGCGCAGCGTCCCTTCCCCGGGGTGTCGCATTTCTTGCAAAGGCCTGGCTCTAACTTTGACAGTACCCCTCCTCTGAGACTTCAGTATGGGGCAGTGCATGCAAAGCAGCAGCTAAAAATCAACTGCGGGCTTCAAAGCAGCCAGCTGAACCCAAGAATGTCCTTGGCTACGACATCTTGCCTCAGCGTCGTCACTCTTGTCTTCGAAGCGTTTGCAGCTTCAGTGAGCTGAGAAGGAGGCGGCAACTCTTTCCAAGCCTGAGCATCTTGCACGTTCACGAATAAAAACGGGCTTCCGGACAAGGGAACTTGGTGCAAGGCAGGGCTTAAGTCTGTGTTTCCGATTCAGGCTTGCTGAGCGAAGAGGCTCAAACCCTCTGTTGACAGGAAGTCGGGGCTCTGCGAAGCATTCATCTCCCGAGCTGGGCAACTACCCACGTCCCTCAAACTCACCCGACCTGGGCTTCCCGGCCGACTGCGTTGGGAAGATCATCTCGCGGCGTCCCAGACGTGCAGCTGCTGGCCTTGTCTCGTGGCAGGGATTTTGCCGAACTGTCAGCCAGGAAAGCCGTAAGCCCAGCACACGGTGCAGCGGCCCAAGGGACATGACCTTGGAAAGGCCAAGAGCAGTGTCTCAACTTAGAGGCTCCTGCTGTGTTCGGGAGCAAGCCGAGCTTCAAACTTGCCACTGCGGATCCAAGGAAGCACGCAGCTCTTGTGGAAAGCCTGCCATCGCTCAGTCCAACATCGAGGCCTCAAGCCAGTCAAGCTCCTGCCAACAAGACGGGATTGCATGGCCGCAAGGGAGCCTGCGCCTGTGACAAAAAACCAAATCATCTCTGTTTCCGAGCGGAGAAGGTGGAGCCAGGGCCGGTGCCAAGCAAGTCGGATCACCCGCTGGACCTCCATTTGCGTCTCTCTTTTTACATAGAGCTTACCGTGCTGTGGAGCTTTTGAGTGACTCCTTCGAGGAAAAAAATCCCAGTCTGCCAGCTCGGTCATCAAAATTCGTCGTGATAGTGTTTTCGGAGCTTCGCAATATGCGAGCAGGCAACAGTTATGTAAGGTAAGTCTGCCTTGCGGAGTGCAGCTCGCGATTCTGCAGCTTGAAAAAGAACAGCAACCACCGGACATCTCTCATCCAAACTCTTGAGTGCTCGACAGTACTATCGGATTCTGGCTCATCGGACCCGACCACCTGCGGTGGCAGTCACTGCATCACAGGCCAGTCCTTCGGACTCTGGCATCTGTTGGAAGGTCTGCAGGTCCGGTAGGTTTAGTCGCTCAACTGCTATTACTGCCACAACCGTCGTGTGCACACGAGCATGCACGGCTGCAGCTGCATGGGCAGCTTCCATGCACATAGAGCGAAGCCTCCGTGACGCCTCCGAGGCAGATGGCGCAGACCTTGATCTGAAGATCAAACTCTAAATCAAGGTTCGTTTGCTGAGTTTCCTGTGAATCTCCGGTCTGTGCCGCTAATCTGAGAGGGAGCCTTTAAGTCATCGGCGTCTCTTAGCCATGACTCCCTTCGATCATGCAAGGCACAAGGGAGGTGCCTCGCATCGTCAGGCTGAGCTCGAAGGCCGGCTGAGGACAAGGCGGAGCCCTCCTCGGCGCCTTGGTTCAGCCCAGCAATGGAAAAAGTCATAAAAAGTGCCGGTGTTTTTGGGGTGTACTAATGTGAGGCGTGCGATTCCTTGGGCCCCACGACTCCTCCGCAAGGCTCGCCCCGGAAGCTTCGGGAGGCTCAGGGCTCGGCGAAGAGGATCAAGGCCGGAGTTCTGATAAACAGACTCCCGGAGTTCCTTCCAAGCGTCGCATATCAGGCCTGGGTGGCCTCTCCCCATGCACCCCTTTTTTTTCAAGACGAGTCATGTCGCGCGACAGTGCCCAAAACCAGCTTGGGACAGACTATATACAATACAAGCACTTGCCAGCCTTGCCAGCCTACCGTGTGTAAGCCACTCCACCTACCAGTCCTTCGAAATCTGCCTGCTTGCAGGCACTTGTTTCGAAGTCGTGAAGACTGAATTAGGCACCGGGAGTGCCAAGACAAACATTTGCACCGAAGCGGAGGCTGCTGAGATATCTTTCCATCTCATGAGCTCCCCTAGAAACTTGCTGAATTCAAGTCTGTGCGTCTGAGCAGCTTCTTTTGGCATGCCCATTTGAGCACCCACTAAATCATGTGGCTATTCCCGAATTGCCAGCAGCCTCTGTCCGCTGCACAGCAGCAGAGAAGCCGGCGGTTGAGCTCGGGCCGCGCAAGTTCTGCCACCGCGCGGGTCTATGCTGACTCTATGCGTCTCGCCCGGTAGTCCTGAGCTCAGAGACCGTCTGGGCATTGCGCTGCGTGGGGCGAGGTTGGCCCACAAATACCTCTCTCCCTGCCCCCTAAACCCCAAACCCTAAACGCGCAATATTCGGTGATTTCCGCCTAGCCACGGCCCGGCAAACTGGACAGTGCCTCGAAGCCGCCCGACCGGAGAAGGACCAGCTCACAACACAGGCCTCGTGCTCCACGTTGGAGAAAGTGCATTTCTAGTGCACGTCTATTGGGTAGTTTTCTAAATTAGGGTCCGTTTTATCAGGGTGCCATACTATGTCTTGGATTAAAACAGGGACCCTAGCTCAGAGAACGACCCCTATCAGCCTGTCGGTATTGAATCTTCAGGGCATGGGACATCCTGGCTACGGGAGTCAAAGGCGTTGACCTGTCAGGCAACTGGCTGCCTGCGGGCAGCGGGGGCCTTAATCATTAGAGCGTAGGATATTATACCCTTATCATAATAAGGAAGCCCCAAAATATAGTATACCGCATTTATTTAGGCCCCTTTCATCCCCTTTATGGGGACCCCGTCTCGGCCTCGCAAAACATGTGCCCGCAGGGAAGGACTGCAAGTGCATCGCCTGCCTCAAAATCCTTAGCTCGTGAGTCTCTTCATTCTATCTGCCACGCCGATTTTTCGAACATTTCGCAGGGGCAGTTGGACTCCGAAGTGGATCGACAAGCAGCGGAGAGGCAGCACACGCAGCTGTCGCCGCCCTTGTCAGCCGCGACGCGGCAGCTGCCCGCCGGCCCAAGACACTCCAACCGAGCCTTCCCCCCCGACCGAGCACCCTCGATGCGGAAGCGAAGGAGATCCTGCCAGCTTCAGAAACATTCGAATACTATGCCCGTCTGTAGCAGGGTCTATGAGGCTCGAGTGTTGCTTGACAGGCCCTGGCTGCTGAAAAGCCACCAGGAGTGTGGAGTCGCCCTCGCCGTAAGTCGTACGAGCCCATTTCCTGTACACCTGAGACTGGCTCTTGGGGGCTGCGTCCAGACAGGGCGTGCTGGCCCCATAACTCTAGTCCAGGGTTTTGTTTTTTTTGGCCGTTTTTTGGCCCTAGAGTCTCGAGTCTAGCGGTTTTCGCAACAGTGCCGGGATCACACGATCCAACAGCCTTATCACAGCTGACAAAAGGACGAAGTCGAAAAAGGCCGTGAGGGAGGCGCCGCCCAGGCGGTCCCCGCCTTGTAAGTGTCCTCGTCCTTTCGGGGCCGAGGATGGGTCTCGGCTTTCCTCTGAATGATGAGAAAAAGGATGACCTCAGTCAGGTCAAGGAGCTCTCGTATAACATGATACCACAATGCAAGATAGCATCTATATTGCAACGATATCACCGTATATATGGTGGGATAGATAAGATAAGACAAGACAATAACACAGTAGATGATTGAAAACATGTCACAGGCTTCGATTTATGTAGGCCCAAGGTCTTGCGACGTGGTCTTCAGAACCCCCGGAATGAGCTACAAAACCCAATCTTCTCGGCAAGGCGGCTGGTAGAAGCAGGCATCCCGCTGCCACGTAGATCAAATCCCACGGGCTTGACAGCATGTTGTGCACGGCGAAAAGGAGTGAACTCAGCACTGCCCCGACAAAGAGGAGGATCTTGTCCAAGCACGCGCCGGGCTTTTCAAAGAAAGTCGGAACTCTCCCAGTTGCCTGAAGGTACATGGGTAGTTCTCCAAATTAGGGTTCCAAATAGGGTCCCTTTTTAGACCCCCAATAAAGGACACCAGAAAAGACCCTAGTTTAGAGAACTGCCCACAGGTTTGGGAAATGTCGAAGCCTAGTCTGACGGCCAGGGTACCCAATCCGGGCGCGTGCTGTTGCGAGTTGGCGGTCTGTGGCCTGCGCAGGAAGACGCTCCAAGAGTTTCCAGTCCAGTCCTACAGAAGTATCATGTTGATATGCGAAAACAAGATGACGAAGCCTGAATGCTCACAGGACTAAGTTTTGATGGCAATGTCAACAGGGACTTTTTTGATATTGTGGCTGAGATCAATCTACCGAAAGCCGTCGCCTCTCAACCAGGCTGGCAGCTGATGCCACTCCTCCGCCTCGGAAAGAGAACTTGATGTCGACATGTGGGTAGCTCTCTAACTTAGGGTCCCTTTTAGGGTCCTTTTTTTTGTAAGGGCGTGCCGTACTATGTTGGGGACCTAAATCGGGACCCTAATTCAGAGAACTAGCCATGTGCAGCTCAAACAGTCTTGCGATTGAAACGGTGAAGACTCGTGTGCCGAAGTGCTAACTAATTATGCTTTGTCGTGACTGCACCGGTTGGGAGGATAGTCTACGCTTCGCAGCACTAGGTGCAGAGTTAGTATGGGAGCGAAAACAGTGGATGTCACATGATCCAGTTGTATGACCAAGCGCTTCAGAGTCGCGGGCACCCTAGCATTCGACGCACCTGAATTGTGCGCATCCTCCCTGGGGCGGCCAATAACCACAGAAGCCATGGCAGCGACTCGTAAGTACGAGTGGTATGCACGCGGTGAGAGCAAACTCTACTGACTCGAAGGTCACATGAGCTGATCGACTGGAAACTCTGACTTGTGGGTCGGAGGCTGTGCTGCTGCTCAGGCCAGAAGGAATTCACTCTGGGTAACTCCCGACACACACACACACACAAGCAGTGTGCATTCTGTCTCAAGCCTCCACATTGCAGGGCGCGCCGCTGATCGACATGGGCACGAACCTCAACATCACGATGCGCACTCCGGCATGTTGTGGGTACCGCACCCGCAAAAGGAGCACCTTCTCCCGGTAAGGACTCTGCAGGCGCAGGTTTCCATCGCTGCAGGGGCCGCCAGACGCCGCCCTTGCTTTCAACGTGTCCGAGACACAGCAGGGACTGTCTTGAGACTTTGGGTCCCTGGCATCGCATGAACCTCCAGCTCGCTGTCGCTGCCTGTGGGCGCTGCACTGGAGCTTCGCCCTACTGGTAGCTCCGGGTGCTCAGCTGAGGCTTCGACTGTCACATGCACTCGTGCTGGCATCGCTCCCCTGGGTCCAAAAGGGCATGAGAAAGGCAGGCACGCGCACAAACACGCTCTTCTGCTTCCACAGGAGCACAAGTGGGTGTGCGACCCTCTGGCCTCAAGGGCCCCCCCCAATGTTTGGGGTTGCTTTGAATGGGTGTGAAAAGCAGCAACCGGTTTGTCCCCCAGGTACCTCGTCACGGAACAAACCCTCGTGGGAGATCCCCCCGGCAGTAGGAAACATGCGTTCAGCCCTGATGTCCCCTGAGCACCAGTGCATGATTTTGCACGAGCGCCCAGGTGAGAGTTCAAAACAAAAACAGACATGGCTAGGCGTATGCACCCAAGTCATCCACTGCCTGCGGGTGCATCTACCCTGACTGTGAGGTCCACCGGCGCTTGGAGACTAAAAGAAAAGCAATGGGACAAACCAACATGTGGAGGGGCCTCTCTCGTCATCGAAACACTGCAGACTGAGGCTCCGGCCAGGGGGACCATGCGAGAAACACTAACCCTAAGGACCCCAATCGACCTTGACAACCCATCAGCGGGAGTTGGAAGCCTGAGGACACTGGCGGCCAGGCGGCGTTTGGCCGCCGTCATGTCTGTGACTGTTAAAAGCGTGCGCAGTCCCCCCCCCCTGGAACACAACACAACGGCCAAGTGATAAACCCCCAAGGTGTCGTGCGATCGCCTGGTGGCATCAAGTTGCTTAAAGCGCCGACCATAGAACTCTGGAAAACTGCTTTCTTTCTGCCGGGCTTGGGGGTCGTCTAGCGACCCTCCCGCCTTCCGCCCGCGGCTTGGGGTTTCCGAGCAGCCCTCGCTACTCCGAACAGCAACGAACTGGGCCCGCCGCAGCACTGTCGGTGCTTCCCAGACGCAGGAGGCGGCTACCTCAGTCTCGGTGGTCACGCTGTCCCGCACTGAAGAGAAGACTCGTTCGGGCTACGGACCCAAGTGGAGAGCAGAGGCCTTCGTAGCCGCGATGCGCGCGGCCTCTCGCATTACCTGACGAAGACCAGCCCACTGCATGAAGCTTTAGGGGCATCGACTTCACTTCCGCTTGGGTGCACCTCTGGTGGGCAAGCTGGTATGGGACCCCATCGGGCCTCGCAAACCTCCGCAGAACTTCATCGCTGGAACTGTGGCATGATGTCGCTGCAAGGTGCACAGATGACTGCCGGAGGGCCTGTCCCAACACAGGAGCCTCGGCAAAACCAAACTTGCAAAGCTGCGTGGCAAGCCCGAATATGTTCGCAATGCAGGCTGCAAATGTCCAGGTTGACAACCTGGACATGAACAGAGCAGCCGCGGCGACGGCGGCGACAAGGACAACAACTATGAGAATGGAGAGGAGGCGGAGGAGGACGAGACTGATGAAAATGGTGCTAAGTCACACCTTTCAACGCCATCGCACCCTGAACCCTAAACCCTAAATAAACCCTAAAACGCTCTTGTGACCTTCTGCCCCGGCTTCAAGGCCCAGGCCTTCGTTCGTCTCCAGGGCCTCGACCAGTCGGGATGAGTCGCAGAGAGCACCCAGGTACTGACGCGACAGAAAGCCGAAGACTGAGCAAGCCACCCCCAGAAGTGCCTTTCAAGCCTCGGGTCTTTTGACTTCTATATGACTCTAATGATAGAGTTTGGTTCAAGCCACCTTTTTTATAGGGTTTCGACTTACACACTCGTGCAAGCAGGCATGGCAGGTACGGCTCCGAGATTGCTACAGGCACATGACAAGCAAAAGGCACCCGCAACTCACCACCCGTTTAGGATGTAGAGTAGCATACACTCATATTAAAAATATGAGCGAGAAGAGCATGATACAACGACGCCATCCCCGCAAATTAGACTTTCCATCTGAGCTCTCAACTCTCGCAGGCGGTCCAAACTCATCCTTGGCGGCATTTGGAGTGAGCGCGTATACTGCGGCACACCTGATTTTAGGGGGACCTTGCAATACGCATCCTGGGCTATTTCGGTTTCTGTGTAGGGGTCCCTTGTGTCTGAACCTCGCACCTGGGCTTCTCAGTGGCTCACAGCTGCTGAAGATGCAACGCATTCAGCTGGCAAGCGGATTCGGCTAGCAACAAACTTTTCCCAGCATACTTCGCTGTCTGCTAACGCACATCAAGTCTGAATTTTGAGGTCAAGCTGTCCCTAGCAAACCTGAGTCGCTGCAACACGTATGGAGCATCCAAGCTGACCTCCACTCCGACATTTGCTGCAGCCAGCTTCTATAGGCTCTGCAGGCTCACACCTATCGCCAAAGACAGGCTCAGCTGGTTTCCAGCTAGCTGCTCAACTTTAATTCAGACAACCGGCTCACCGATCATCAGGCTCTCTGCGTGCTGCACTGCCCTCCAGTGGTAAGAGCAGCTGTCCAAGAGGTGACTGGCACATGGACAGAACCACATCAGATCTTAGCCGCGCCAGTGCCACAGCTGTCCCGATAGCTGCTCAAAAAACAAGTTTGGAGCCGCGCGGTGCAATTTTCTAAGTCTACGTCCAGGCCAGCACAAGAGATTCGGCAAAGGTATTGTGGAATCCAATTTAGAAACGGGCCTGGCCGTTTGGCGGGAGAACTGATGCGACATTGCATAAGCGCAGAAACCCTGAGAAGTGGATTTCAACGCAGCTTTCCCACTCCAAACTTCTGCTCAAGGCATTGTGGCTCAGTCCACACTGATGACCTCTGCTCTGCACATGGCAAGCAGCAAAGCGTACAGCTTGCAAATCTTGCAACATATAGACCTATCGATGGCACAGATTCAGCCCGCTCGTTTAGTTGAACGTCAGAGGCATCTGCAGCTCAACAACTCCTTTGGGGGTCAAGCGGCTCGACCTTTCCGTCTCTCGCGCATCTGCTGTCGCTTTTCCTCCTCTTCCTCCGCTTTCTTCTTCACAACCTCCTGAGACATGTCGGACGGATGAGAAGCAGGCGACTCAAGCAGCACATCTCTGGGGTGGGGTGAGTGATGACACGCGCACATATCTTCTTGAGCCAAACAGGTAGCAGCATCTTTCTGCTAACCACCGTAAGCTCGAAGCAGAAGGAAAGCCTGGCTCCCCAGCTGCCGCGATCACATCGCTGTCGCATGCGACCAAGCACCGTATGTTATGGCATGTACCACGCACGCACCTTTGGATTCATGGCTGGGAGGTGCAACATCAGCTGCCTACAACTAGCCACAAGCGGACGCATCCTCAGGAACAAAACGAGTGCGAGCACTTCGCACTTCAACCCCCCGGTGATGTTTCACAGCAGCTTGGGCGGTCGGTTTCGCCTCCTCCGCCGTGAACGTCGTTTCGCCTCCTGGGTTGCGCACGCCTGTATGTCAGGAGGTCCGCCGCCTATCCTGCCCCGCAGCGCATGCTTCGAGCCCTTAATGAACTTGATGTTTTCCCAGCAGCCTGGGCAGTTTCGCCGCCTCGGCTGTGGATAAACATCCGGCACTAAGAACACTTCAAGCCCTGTGATACCTCGGGCTTCATCCCCTCCGGTGCTGTGAATCGTTCTAGCACCTGTAATGTTTTTCGTGGCAGTGCAGCCGGCATCGCCTTGGTGGGTTGAACGCTTCAAAACCCTTGTGATGCTTCGCTGCAGCTCAGCTTGAGAGGAATGGGCTCTGCTGCTGTGAACACTCCAAGCCCCCTGTGATGTTTCACCGCAGTTCGGAAAGCATGGCCTCCACTGCTCTGAGCCCTGCAAGCCCGCGTGATGTTGTTCACAGTCACAGCAGCTCGTGCTCGGGCAGCATCGCGTCCGCTTACCGAGAGCACTTCAAGGCATGTTCCGAAACTCCCCTTCGCCGTTCTGAACCTCTAAAACCCGGAAGCTGGACCCCCGAAGATGCCAACTTCCCACATCCCTGACTTGCCAGGAACGGACTTGAGCGTGACAAGGGATTCTGTGAACAGATGATCCTTCCAACACAAGATCAAAGGTGTGTGACCAGCCTCTTTGGACAAGCCCGAGTACTTCTTCTTGATCTTCACCACTTTCTTCTTCGGCGCTGCCTTGGCCTCTCATGAAACAAAGGCTCTCGGAAGAAAGAGCTGAACCTCAATGCGTTGTACATAGTACATGACAGGTGGATGATCGGCAGATCGCACCGGATTAGGAGCTCGAGTCTGCTCTGCGACCTCACCAGTCTTCTCACCAGTCTTCTGCTTCTTCGCCGCCTGGAAGAAAGCGTTTCTCTGCGCCAACCAAAAAAATCAGAACTCGGGGGGGGGGGCTTTCCAAACCCAGACGCCTCCCAGAACCCCCCACCCCCACCCCCACTTTTCCCCTAACCCGGTTTCTGCAAAAAAAAAATTAAGAGAACCTCCGCCCCAGAGCTGCTCTGGCCTGGCCCGAGCCCGAGGAGCTCGAGGAGTTCTTCTTCTCTTCGGGCGGCGAACCTCTCAGCCAGGCCTGGGACTTCTGAGCTGAGGCTTCCTTTGCTGTTACCATTTTGAGTTTTAGGGTT